TGGATTACATTTATTGCTTTAATTAGTCAAGATTTATCACAATAATTCACGAGTAATCAAAATCAATTAATCATGGTTGACTGTGGATTAATCACAATTAATCATATTGTGATTAATCAGATTAAAACAAACTTCCAAACATAGCGTCACTGAAGTTGATATTTTAAACACCGTAATACATTTAGTGCTGTTTCCTGTTCTACCAGTAACATCAATTACTGAGACAACACCAAAAATATAACTTTTATAACTAAGCGGTTTCACATTTCTGATGTTTTGTTTTATACTAGTCATCATTTTCGTGTTTAAATATATACCAGGTGTTTGCTCAGAGCTATTTTCATTTTTTTTAATAAATGTAAAAAAAAAAGATTCTGCTGTCAGTTTAAGTAAAATATTGAACGCACGTCAATCCTCCTTTTAAAAATGATTGGTATTTCCGAAATGCAAAGACCATTTAGACGATGTAATGTGCTTTCTGAATTATAAAACTACGCCTCAGAAGGCCTTTCTTCTGAGCCCTGCTCTGCCCTAGCTCCACCTGGCTGCTGTGAAATACACACTTCATGTCAACACCACACACTCACAGACTGACAACTAGACTGAGAGCCACTCCCCACAAACAGATTTTCTCTCACTATATTGGAGGGAGTTTAGATACAGATGAAAAGAGACGATAGCTAAGAGTGAGTGGGAGAGCTTTTACAGATTCACAACATTTAGTTGCCTTTGCAAAACTCTCCAGATGTTATTTTGTTTAGCCCATCGGACCGTCTTTGTACTGATGTATCTGTTATTTCTCACCAGCTGGCTTATTCAGTCTTCGCCTGGAGCTTTTTTTTGTTTTTGTAAAAAGGGATTTTGAAAAAAAAGCAACCAGAATTTTTCACAATGTTCTTCAAAGGACCTAAAAAACTTTCAGCAGCAAAAGAAAAACACAGTTTTCTGACATTCAAACTCATCCATTGACAATACTCAAATCACTGCCACGTTAAAATAAACCAATCAATCGATGTTTATATTAAGAATAAACTAAAGATACGGTTAAAAAATGCTTCATATCATTTAAAGAAAGAGATCTTTGAAACTATTTCCTACCATGAATAATTTATCACATGTATTGATCATCCGTTGGACCACACTGATGATGGCTGTGCTCTCCTCTGCGCGAGCAAAACTCTGCACCGCAAACTCCTTGTCCTTCTTCTGCTTGTGTAACAGGTTGGGCCCGAAGATGGTCGCCAGGTTGAGTGATGTCATCTTGTTTCCAAATATCTGCACAGAAGAGAGTATTCAGGTTGTTTGTCTGTGTAACACAGTGGTGGGCAAAATATTTGGCTCATGGGCCAAATTTTGACCGAGGGGCCAGTTCAGTGTTGGTTGGATGTAGAACAACGGATATTATAACATCAATAACATAAATGTTAACCCACCTAAATTTGACATACAGCATTTAATGTCTGCCGCCATCTCGTGGCATCAACTGAAATTACAGTCGATTGGTTGTAATGTATGAAACAGAAGGATTGACGTCAGTCTTTACCACACCTTGTACCATGGGGTTGGAGGGCCAGCTTTTCACTATTTCTTTTGCTCTTTTATATTTAAATATGTAGAAAATTGAACTGCTGCTGTCAAATAAATATTTAATAGTTTACATTTTTGCAGTTGAACGATGCCTGCCACAAAACAAGCCAAAGCCATTCAACTAAAAACAAAGATAATAATTAGTAAATGAATATAACCATGATCAGGGACCAATGATAATTAAATTATAGCGATGTCTTGGGAAAAGAATAAAACAAATTAAAGATTAAATTAAAACACACGAGTTTAAATTAATCATTATTATGTCAGACGAGACGGTGAATGATATGAAACTCCACAGACGGTAAAGCCCATCAGAAATGGGTCACCAAACACAGTGACAATGAGGAATGACTTATGGAGAAGAGAAACATTAAATAGTCACAGCGTGATGAGAGGACGACTCGTGTAGACAGTGAACATCTGGCTTAGCAGAATGTATCACCACATTGTGATACTTCCATTTGCTTTCTGTGTACGACCAGAAAGTAATGAGGAAATAACAGGTTATGATGTTTGCGGAAGCAGCGGGTTTGTGTAACCACTGTGAAGCACTTTGTCGTGCATCATTTATTTAAAATACCCACAATGGATAATTATTCACGGCGGCTCAGCACCTTGTGCAAAATCAGTCACTGTGGAGGTGACAAAAACATCTGCCGGACCACCTTTTGTTGGATTCGTTATCAGCATCTTCTTGTTAAATCACGTTGTTTGTCTGTGACAGCTGCTTTTTTGTTTATTTATTTTTCTATTAGACTTGTAAAAGTATCTAAATGGGAAAAGATGTTGTTATTGTCAACTGCCACTAGATGGTAGTGTGGAGCCCTGTACGGAAACTACCCAAGTAAGGGGTCTATGTCGTTTTTCAGGCTATGAACTGGGCAAAGGAGCAAGCACTTAATCATGCTTTCTGTCCCGGTTAAAACCTCTGTTAACGGCAGGATGTTCCACGTGTCTCTACCTTCTGTCCATCCTTGGTGAGGCGGTCTTCAGCATGTGCAGCCACAGTGGACAACAGGCAGAGGAGATGGTAGAGTGTGTCACTGTTACAAGGGGGCAGCATGAACACGAGGAGCTGGAGGGCACTTTCTTGGTCTGAATTATCCAGCACTGCAGAGAAATGAGCCCAAATGGACGACTGTTTTTAATTCAATCTGACAGAAACACAATGACTGACAGCGGGTGACTGTGTGTGTGTGTGTGTGTGTGTGTGTGTGTGCTCGTCCTCCTCACGTGTCGTGTTGATGAAGGCTGTGTAAAGTTCCCTTGTCAGCAGTGGGTTGGGCATGTCTCGAAGAAACTCCTTCAGCAGCGCAGCCACATCGTGGACACTGTGCTCCTCGTCCAGGTTCACCTCCCAGCCCTGGTCAAACTCCTCTCGAAGCTGGATGACACACAGGGATCATCAGGGGAGAAAAATATGAAAAAATATTCACAACTGAATTTATTCAAGCAAAAAGAAAAAAAATCATACCTGGCGCACTCTCTTCTTGGAACTTCCAACTCGGAAAATTCCAACTGTGTGCAGCCCTGACAGAAGACAGATTTTTTAGATTCACTGACTGTATTTCATCCTCATTAATAAATTATCCAAGTTACACTGTGTTGTTTCTTTGCAACCCCCTCAGGGCTATATTTACTGCTGAACTTTTATAATGGTGTACCGTATTTTTCCAGGTGTTGGCAGCAGAGATCCACTGCCCGGGGCACCTGTCTGTAGATTGGGTTAAGGCTGAGCTTCTTGTCACGGCTCTTCTTCCTGTTGCCAAAAGCCTCCTCTGGCAGAGACAGTTGGAGAGCCTCCAGGAGCTGAGACTGGTCATCATCAAGGTCTGTGATGCAATCTACAGACACTCCACCCTGTCGGGACAGATGAGTGACAATCAATGCTGTCACTCTTGCAAGCCTTGAAACATGGTTACGTCATGTAACAGTTGTAACAGTTCACTCTGATGTTAAAAAAGCTCTGACATTCCTGTGCTACAACAGCAGGTCAAGTGTCTTTGATAAACAGGCCTACCCTCCTGCGGGTCCGCGGGGTTGCCTCTAATATGTTCAGAAGAGGCAATTCATTTGGGGTCTCAGAGGTGGAGCTGAGAGAGGAGGTGCTGCTGGAGAGCTCTTTGTTGGCTCTTTTGAAGCTGTAGGTGAAGTGAAGGAAGGACAGCATCAATTCTGTCGGGTCACTGTGCTCTTCCCGCGGGGGTTCGGGCCGCTGCTTGTGTATGCGGTCGTTGGAAATGACCTGCGTCAGTGGTATGCCAAACGCCTGGGGCATAGTCTCTGAATGAGAGGGAGGAAAGGGACATAAGGTTCAACGTCATGGCTTCAATTTGATTCTGATCTTTATCGTGCATATTTTATGTGTTACTATTTGGATGGAAGTGGAGTGGATCAACACAATGTGCTTGATGTTAGGGACCCACTTGGTGAACGTTTGCCCATAAATGCTGTTTAATTGACTGCTATTTGTAATAAATTAACTGATATTTGTATATAAAATATAAATATAAATATATATGAAAATAAAAAAAAGTTATTTCCTCATATAACCTCCACATAAACATTTTTAAGCTGTTTCCATCAGAGAATTTCTTCTATGTAGAATTATTTCACACCACATGCTTTAATGTATTCACACACATATATAAACATGCATATGTAAATATATAGTGTATATATATATGCATAGATATATTCATATATGTATAAACATAGATATATAAATAAATATGTATACATATATTTATATATGTATACATACTGATTTTACTTAATTTTGAAGATAAGAAGGACGGAATTAAACTGATTTTAATAGATTTTCCGCCACTTTAGTTTACTACCGACCAAATAAAGAATAAAGACTTTCATCTGATTACATATTCATTGTATTCACACTCGAACTCCAACATAATTACTGCTCAGCACATTTAGGAACAGTGCTGAGCCAATGTTCTGAAGAGCACAGTCAATATCCAGTATTAGTGAGCACATAGTTTCGCAAATGACTTTTTAAACAAACGGGTAAAGAGAGGAAAGAGGGGGCTGGTCCTGCCTGAGGACAGGCCATAATGAATAAACCTCCACTTAAGATTGTTTTTGTTATTTCCCTCAACCGCCTGTCTGACAGAGAAGACCTTCCTGTCTGATTCCTGCAGCGGGCGGGGCTCAGCTCTGCACTCTGGGCAACTTCGGCTCAGTGTAGAACCTATGGTTACTCACTGCTGCCTCAGTATAAACAAGTGGGGATGTGTGCTCCAGTGAGCCTATACAGGCTCAGCCAGAAGGATCAAATAGCATCTTTCCAAATGTCAGAAGCTGACTAAGCTGGAAACTGTACTGCAGAACAGAGGCCCTACATGACACAGCAGCTCTCTCACAATCTTTAATCTTTACTGTTTTGGAAAATATGGATTGTCACAAGACAATTATCCAGATTTGCAGCCGGTTTTTATCAATATTGATAAAACCCTGATTTAGTTTAGTAAGTTTTTCAGTAGCCTGAATGTAGATCATGCCAGAAAAATTAGAAATATTCTATAGACACAATTTGGCATCAAAATCACTGTCTATTATGGGAATTGTAGGTCACGATAAAGACATGTAAATATATGCTTGATTAGAATTGGAATAAAAGAATGAAGAATTGTAAATTACTAACCCTGCATGTTAAACACACCCATCCAGAAACAAATATGGACTCATATGGCCACATGAAATAATATGGCGGGCTGCATTTGGCCCACGGGCCCTAGGTTTGACATATGTGCTCCTTACAGTATGCTGCCCTCATTTATGTATTTTTTCTTTTTCTACTTTTCCCAGCGAGTTGGCCGAACTTTTTTTTTTTTTTTTAACTATTTACTATTTCTGTACCAAGGCTTTCCGAGAGTTTCATAAGAGTTTGTTCCATTGTCCTGATCTGGTCACCAGTTATCATGATGACATGGTGAAGGCAGTGGCCCCTCAGCATGTCCTGTTTTGACTGACCACAGGCTCAAACATGTCCGTCACAAGATCCAGAGCTAACAAACTGATGGAAATCACTGGTCCAGCAGCTAAATGCCTCTGTGTTCCTGTGGAAAAAGGATTTTTAACAAGTACACATTTACAGTTTTTTAAAGCGTAATGCTGACTCAGCACACATCACACATTGTCCTGGACACACAAACTGCTGTTGTACCATTCCCTACAGTAAAAGGAGAAAAACAACATGCTCAATTTTTAGAAATAGTAATTTTAAAATAAACAAGTCAATTACTTGACTTCAGCCCAAGCAAATTAAAATCATGCAACTGGATAGGAGCTGGGGAGCTACTGTACGGCGGGAGCATCATTACCTCTGTCTTTACTCCTCTCCTTCGATAACGAGTCGAACTTTTTCTTCAGTGACTTCTTGTGCTTGTGACCTATAAAAAGATGAAGCCGTTACAGCCCTTGTCACCATCTCACTTAACATGCTCCCAGTTTTCCTCTTCTCGCTGATATTTTTAGACTAATTTTCTACACTGTTACATAATTCAAAAGCAAACTGTGCAGTAGGTGTCAGAAAATAAAAATGTAGACCGGGTGTCTCAATTCATAGCCCCAGGAGGACTGGCGTCAGCAAAAATTCCCGAATAAAAAAACTTCTCTCCTCATGACTGGCAAAAGTTAAGCATAAGAGTTGGCAGCACGGATGGTTTTAAAAAAAATTAGACTTCATAAAAACCTAACACAGTTCTGAAAGTTTTTAACTGTTCGATCATATCCAGAGTGAAGGTCTGCGTATGTAAGTTATTCATTCATTTTCTATCGCTAAGTCATATTCCAGGGTCATGGGGGCAGTTGGAGCCAATCCCAGCAGTCATCTGGGCGAGAGCGGGGTTACACCCTGGACAGTTGCCAGTCTATCGCAGGAAAGAACAGGAAATCCCATAATAAAATAATAAGAGCTACTGCTTGGCCTGCGTTGAAGGTTACACAAATATTTGTAAAATATTTCTGCTGCATTTATTTTACTGCTTTGATTTAGAAAACCTGGCAAAAAGTCCAAATCAGGATCGTTATTTCTCCTTTTTTTTGTAGATAATTTATTGTTTGATCATCATCAACTGCTTAAGGATGGTTGGGGCAGATGGAGCCAGTCCCAGCAGTCATCAGGGTGAGGCACACCCTGGACAGTTTGCCAGCCCATTAAGGGCCACATAAAGAGACCACCAGACTGACAGTACTGCAATTAAGAGTCTCTAATTAACATTACTTCCAATGTACATGTCAGAGTAACCTGAGAAATGGTCCATGAGGAAATGACCATGAGGGCTCAATTTGTTTGGATTATTTATTTCATGAGATGTTCTCTGATCGGTTAAAAAAAAAGAAAATGCAGATAAACAAGATTTTGTGTGTGCTTAAATACGTTTGGGAATGCTGATGTGGCAGCCAAGGTCACGATCCCGAAGCAATCGCCTGAAGGCCACGTCCTGGAGACGAACCCTCTCCAGTTCAGAGAGGCTCTGCAGGTGGACAGGTGTCAGACCGACGCTGCCCTCAGATGCACTTCTCCAGGTGAAGTTACCCTGAAGACAAACAAACACAACAAACACACGGGAAGATCAGACAGCAGCTCTCACACATTTTCTGTCAGCTTTTGCATCAATGAACTCTAACGCCACAGACTGCATTATAGATAAAATAACAGAACGGTCCGCTTCAGGTGACAGCTTCACCAACAAATAACAATTTTAGGACCAAAGAAATGCCAGCTTGTTTTTAAAGCTGTCAAAAGTACGACTTTCTAATATCAGCAGTTCAGCCTGAAGCTGAGTTTAAAAAACAGATCATTACCTAGATATCAAATGAAGTGCATACTTCCAACAAAATTCCAACTTCCCTAGGAACCCAAATTTGATAAGACCCATTCTCTGCATGTGCGGCTGATTCCACAAACCTTAGTTAGCAGTTAGCACAGATGAGCCTCCCTTGGTGAATGGATCTGATCTTTATTTGTGGCCATTACAGTTTTTCATTAACTACTGCAGCAGAAGAGAAAGGAAATAAAGTTACAAAGCCAGTAATACATCAAAGATGATGATTAAGTTAAAACAGCATCATCAGACTGTGGATGTGACTGGTCCAAAAAAAACAAAAACAAAAGTACATCAGGAGCTGAGGGAGTCAGTGACAGAATGCCAAAAGTACATAAGACAGAGGAGCTGAGGGAGTCAGTGACAGAATGAAAGTACGATCCATGAGGCTTTCTATGATTTTTTCTTTCTTTAAAATGTTCCATGTTGCTATTTCTTCCAGTACCAAAAATGTACCCAACACTGGTGTAAATACTGAAGTACCAAATCAACTAACATCCATCCATTTTCAAAGCCATTTGAATGATACATCATCGATATAATTAAAAAGTACAACAAACACTGAGTGACTCGTAAAAAAAAAAAAAAGAAAATTCCACCCAGAGTCTAGTTAGTGCTTTTAATGCTGTACTAATGCCTGGGCAGCCCACATACACGACTTGGAATCCTGAACATTTGACAAAATATCTCCATGCCTGAGATTACTGCGCTTTGATCCAAAGTCAAACCAATTATTCCGGCCATGTTCCAAAGAGGCTTAGTACCCTTTTGTCAGGATAAGGCTGTACTAAAGTGGCTAACGCCAGTTAATCTGAGTTAATGCTGCTCTACAGTGGCAAAGCCTTTACGGCGATGATGTGCTACTGTAACATACAGTCGTTCAACCGCAGGAAAACCCTCTGATTGGTGTTAATAATATTACATTATTTCCAAAAAGCTTTGTTTTAAAATTCTAATTACATCTACTGTATGTACCACTGGACTGACGGTATATCCACCCAAGCTAAGTTTTACCCTTGTATTCATATTTCCACATGTTGCAACAGCAATTCTCAAAAGTCATTGAAATCTGCATGTTTCACTTCAACGATGAACTTCAAACTCTTGTTAAAACTCTTGTTAGCGAGCTGTACGGTACAATGAGAGGAAACATGCAAAGTAATTCTTACAATAGATTTACAGTTGAGATTACAGCCATCAACCCCACTTGAACTGCATCCACTGAGGTGATGAATATTCCCCATGCAGCGCTCAGGAAACCATTCATTGGAACATTACGGTAAAGATTTTCCACACAAGCCCACGTTCCCACTCCACATTAGGTGTAAGTGTTACCATGCTGACTGCTTCTCACTGCATTTGCTTAACTCACATTTGCAGTTTTATCAACATTTAATGGTACAGAGCTAACAGGTCTAATACAACGCTGTTAAAACGGGGAAAGTACCGACATCACAGAGTCCGTCACTCACTCACATCCTGTTCTGCACTTTTTGACAGTGGTGAGGTTGGTTTAAACACAATGTACCCTATTTATAAGCATCTATATCAGTCACTTTATCAGCTTTTCAGCTTCCTGCTATTTTATATAGTTTAATTCATTGGTTTTGTTTAATTCAAACAGGTGCGACTTCTTTCAAGCATGAAACTGCTTCTATTTTATGCTAATGTTTACAAAAAGTCTTCTGCAAATTAACATTTACTCACAAGGCCGTCGATGCTGTGCTGAGGACACGGATCATCCATGACGACTCAAAACCATTTCAGTTGAATTCAACACCTTTAGTACCAGCATGTACAGTCTGAGGCCCACAGACCAAGTGTTTACAGCCAGACCAAGTCAAGACACTGATTAAAGCCCACTGTGAGAAGCTGTTTTTAGGCACGTCCTCGTACACAACACGACTGAAGGTGTAGACAGAAGGTGGGGGCAGTCAAGCAGCAAATACAGTGATGTAAATACAGTCATCGCAGTCAATGCTAGATAAGAGGAGAGGAGAGTAAGTACAGCACAGCAAGGTCAGAAGTTAGCAGAGGCTCGAGGCAAAATGCTATTTAAATTTAGGTAGTGACTTTTAATGCTCCATAAACCACGCAGAGTTCTTTGGCAAAATCAGCAGACTCCCAAAGCTGAGCATGAATTCAAGATATATCACTGTGTGCAATCTGCTACTTAATTATTTCCCTATTGCCAGAAGTGTTTTCTTTGTAAATGAGGTCAGCATCAGCTAAAAGGTAACAAAATCATTTACAGTGAAAGTAATTTGTTTTTGTAAATTGATACCATGTGAATGTGGATCACAACAAGAGTTTCATTTTAACATGGTGTACCAGTTCAACGGAAGGATTTGATGGCAGTAAAAACAAACAGTGGTGCCGTACATTTTTACAACTTGTTATTATAGTCCCAGGTGTCACAGTAGCAGCAGTTGGATCTTTCTCATCAGAATGATAAATGATTTTCTTATGTTTTTTTTCCCCCCATTTTTTTAAAAGCTAATTTCACCGTGAACATTTGAAACACATATGTGCGGAAAGCTGATTGTTTCAGCCCTGAATCTCGGTCCTGGTGATTAATGAGCTCATTTAGCCACTGCATCACTACATTAGAGTGATGTATGACTCCCTTCAAAGGCTTTAAAAGTTGCTGCATTTTTACAAGGGAAGTCAGAACAAAGTGAGACATGCATTCAGAAATGTAGAACTGCTGCTCATGTTACAGAAGACTCTTAACCAAAGTGGTTTGCATTAAGCCTAAAGAATGAAGATGACACTGCACAACTCCAGTTCCATGTTGGTGTTTTTTAAAGTAGACAAGACATAACTGCACGCAGTACATTTAATGAGCTGTGTTTTTACATAATGGATTTAAGGGAATGAAATTCAGTATTTTTTTTTATATCTCACAAAGTCTTTATGATCAGTTTATAAGCGTATGGCTGTTTAACAGGATTTTAAAGTTACGAAGTCAGCAGAAAAAATATACATAAATGTAATGGGTGATACATCACAGTGCTGCCGACCTGCAGTAGTAGTGACAATCACTCCAATGATAATGACAGGTAAAACTCTTAATAATCTACAATGTTAACTAATGCATACAGGGAGAGCACGAGAGTGAAAACAGGAAGTGCCTCCAGATCGGAGGTATTTCTACACCGTTGAAGGTCCTCACAGACTTTTACTTCCACTACATATTAACCAAACCTGACAGTTCATATTTTTCCCTCTGGTTATTTTGCATCTGAAAATAAACAGCTTTTGCACTGTGTCAAGTCAGGAGTTTCTAACTGCAGAAATGGGGTCTATTTTCAAACAGAAGATCTTTAAGAAAAGTGGGTAAACTTCCTATAAATGCAGTAAAAGCTTTCACTCTCTTAAGCATTGTCAACATAAACTTGACATGGTTCTATTTGAAAAAAAGGGGTTTAAATGCAATGCTTGCAACACAATCGGGTGGCTTACTCAAATAGTTACCGGTTAGATCGACAAAAAAATTAGCATGCGTAACCGTATATGGTTCTTAATTTCTAAATAAAATCCTATGAGATGTGATGGAGATGAGATGGATTCTGTACACACCTGTTTACAGCCTATTTTTCAACACATGGTTTCTGCACCTTTACTTTTCATTGAAAATTAACCACCTGAATGGCGTCAATTTAATCACTGGGGAAGAAAAGGTACCAATAAATCAGCAGATTCTGATAGGCGCTTGAACAATCATGTCATTTTTTTTTTCCCCAAATCTGCTGCACAATGACACAACAGACGTGTAGTTTCTCGGCCGATGGCTTTGGCCTTGCATATCAGACAGTATATGAGCTATGTAATCAAATCAATGTAGCCAAAACTATAAGTGTATGTAAAATTACTTTAATCAGACCCAGACTGGATGCTATGCTGCTGCACTTTGCACGCCAACAGGTCTAGTTCCATGCCATCCGATGGTAATAAGTGCCTGAGGACTGCAGCCAAGGATCAGGTCATGCTGTTGTTCTGTGAGGAATAAGAGTCCGGGCTGTCTTCATGTAAACCAGATGTCTCTGTTTTCCGTCTCAGCTCAGACTGCTCAGACTCTTGGTGACTATAACTCTAATGTTGCAAATGACATTCAGCCTATGGAAAATGTACGGTCATTTTTTTTAAACTAAACTATGACGGCACTTTAAACAAGTTGCATTTGTTAGTGTTATCTCCAGCAGCCGCTTTCTTATGTTTGATTCATATACATACATTCTACTCATGGGCTACATACATTACAATGATACTTTTCCACTGACTGCTAGCTCATCATTAGTAAGCCCTGGCACCTGGACTGCATTTAAAGAATCTCAATGACCTAAGTTAACTTATATGACATATAATACATTCTCATTAGAGGAGAGCGGGGAGAGGGGCAGCAGAGGGGGGTTTCTGTGCAGAACTGTCAGCCCTACTTCATCACTGTTACTGTTACAGTTGCCTCCAAATGAACTCTAGCTGAATATTTTAAAACCCAGAAAAAAAGTGCTGCATTACTACGGTTTCCAAACACACAAAAAAAATCACTTCCTGACAGTGTAGGTTTACAGAGCGCTGATGTGAGTATCCAGGAGGGTTCTCACATCTATATGGCCGCAGCTCAAGTGCTGAGTTTTTCTTAGTATGTTTGAGGTAACAACACGCAGCAGCTCCATATATTATGACAGCTACTACGGTATAACCGCGACATATTTGCAATATAACATAGGCTGTCATGTGTCGTAGAGTTGAAATGTTTCAGCTCCACAATATGCTCAGCAAATAGTCCAGCGTGTGGCACAGCACACAAGAATAACTGCAGACACATCACCCTCAATACCCTCTCTGACAAGGAGCTGTCTCTAACATTATATTGGTTTCATTTAGATATACTGTGATTTTATTCCTAAGGGCCGGGGAATTGGGTTCTTGTTTCCCGATGGCTGTAAGAAAGAGACCAGATACCTGGTATTCATTACGAGGCCATTATAATGTCACATCTGTGATAGATTTCCATTAAACTAAACAAACAGTGTTACCATGAGGACCACTTTAAGCACAGTGCTACAGATTGGCTCAAATTGTCAACATGTGAGTCTAATGGCTCCAAATCTGAAATATAATAAAAACCCCTATTAAGAAAACACTTGTTTCCTACGGACATGTGTATAAATCTACCTATAGCACAAGTAAAAGCCTTCAGAATAAGAGTTCTTCTCCCTTTGCCTGATTCTTGTATGCGTCACCAGAGCAGATCATCTGTCTCCATGTGCCTCAGTCTCCAGCCTCCTTTACTGGTACATTAACCATCCTCACCACATCCACAGATCTCCTCTGGAGCCTTTATCTTTCCCTCCTGTCTGGCAGCTCTATCACTTTCATCCTTTGTCCAAAATGCACTTCTAACTCTCAACCTTGTCACCCTAAATTTGTCTCCGAACTAAGTCCTACAAGTTCTCACAAAGGAGAGAAAAAGTAAAACCCCAACTCTAAATCCAGGTTTTAAAGGCTTGGTTTTTCATCAATAAAGTGTGGAGTCTTTTAAAGTTCGGATTCCCCAGACATTAGGTTGTTTTTGATGGAAACATTTTAAATATGGAAGGATTTACAATTCGCATGGGAATCACCACCAGGAAACTATTACCTGTTCTACCAATGGACCAATAAAACACTGCTAGACATGACAAACTTTTCCAGTCACACCTATCTCAGCAGATCTCAGCACGTCAAAAAAAGGAGTGGTTTCTGCTTACAACATTTCAATAAAGAGAGTGAGATGAATCACTTTAAGTGACCAATGACGCAAAACCAAACTGCCACAACAGAAATTTCGTGCCATTATTAGTCATCGTGTTGATGATGGTGAAATGCTCGTACCTACTGTTTATTTCCTCTGCACTGAGAAGAAAATCTATGGAAAAGCCAGTGAAATAACCAGAAAGAATCTAAAAACAGTAAAAACAATAAGTATTCACCAACTGAAATGCTGAATTCCAAGGTTTATCTAACAGCTGCAGCAGCAGTTTTTCAACTAGAATCGAAAAAGCCTCTTGGAAATGAGTTGAAATGTTTCTAAGAAACCACGGTGGTCTTGTGCTCCACCGCCGAAAGTTTTATGAATTTTAAGTGTTCTCCTTTTTTCCATTAATGTGGTGACAATGGAGGAATTTTCCTGTAACAGACATGCTTCCTGTTAACCAAATCGTCCGGACTTTTAGGTATACATGCAGTAATATATATATATATATATATATATATATATACTTTGGTACTATTTGTTGATTTAGGGTTACAAATGAAAATATATATATAAATAAATATGTATATATACATACACATATATACTATAAATGGGTGGATTATATGGGTGTTTGCATATTTTACATTATGCAAATTACAGACAGACACATACAATTAAATCATGGTGGAAAAGTCGAATGTAAAGAATTATTTATTATTATTTGTTATTATATAAGGATTAAACTGAAGTTATTGCTTTCACCCAGTCATTTAACCTATGACCCTTAGCTCTGCAACACACTTGGGGGTTGTATAAGAAACTACGGATTACTTTGGGAAACTAATTTTAACTTAAACTCTGGAAATCCCATGCGTGGAATCAATATATGTTTCATTAAGTTTACAACAACAAATACACAATTTCAAAACACTAAACACGACAAAAGTATTTAAAAGGCTAGTGTCACTTGCCGCAATGTTTGTAACTCTTGAACAGTGCGCTGGTGCGACAAAGTCAATAGTTATCTTTAGACATAATATAAACTGTTATTATAGACTCTTTGCACTTTACCATATAGGGCGACTGCTCCGCTTCAGTACTGTACTGTCGCATCATTACCGCGTCCAGGCTCCTGGTCTGCCTCAGTCTGCGCTTAGAAATAGTTTCAGGACTTAAGGAGCACAAGAAAACGCTGCTGAGTATTCCCTGAGCCGACATGTCTCTTCTAGCTGATGAAACCGCGGATAAAGTGAGCAGAGAAGAGACTCATGTCGTCAAAGTCTCAACACAAAGTAGTGAAAGCAGCAGTAGCGGCGGCGGCAGGTCTCCACCGCGTCACGCTGAGTGGTATTATAAAAGAGGAGGCTGGAGTCCCGTGTTCCACTTCCCACCTCCACCTCCTCCACCTCCACCTCCTCCTCCTCCTAACATGCACTGTGGCTCGGGGCCAGTTTCGCCAGATACAAATGTAAATGTATCAGTTGCCAAAAGACATCTTAATCAGATAAAGAACAAAACGTCAGGACAATACTTTAATTACCCTGCATGTTATAGCCTATAACCAACACTGGATTATGAAGCGTGGGGATCATTGTTTACGTTTTGCGTCACAAAGAGCTACGTTTTGCGTCACCACGTGATACGTCGTGCGTTGATTGGCTGTAAAGAAGCGAGAAACGAGACAACGCGTGAAAAGCTCTGCGTGAGCAGGATCTGAATGTAGTTGTGCTAACTAAGTCATCCATGTAATGAAAGGGTTAAATTATCTCATCTTCATTTTAAACTTTCAAGGATTTTGTTTGTTTTTTTTTGTCACTGTATACTTAGTTAGTAAACATTTATGTTGCTTTGCATTTGTAGCAATATTCTGAGGTTGATTAAAAGAGAAAAATACAATCTGTAACCTACATATCGAACATCAAATCAAATGTAAATGACATTTATTGTTAGACACTCAGTGTTAAAAATGCCTTGTATTTTAATTAAAAAAACACAAGTAACACACGTAAAACTAAACCAACACCATGGCACATGTCTCTGTTTCACTTCCTTGTTTTTTCAGGTATTTCTAAGGCAGATGTAATTATTCTGGATATAAAAGTTTCCGTTGTTCTATGATGTATTAGCTTGGTGTGAAGGATTTAAAGCCATAGTGACCCATGGCTTTAAATCCTTCATAGACTATAAAGTCAGGAGTCACATTAAACTAAATGTAATGGCCCTAACTGGCTCATGAACTTGGACACACCAACAATACTTCCTGCCTTACATTTTTACAAGACATTTTAATATTAACAGATTACATACATACATAAACTGTGCGTTAAATGTATGGATTTAAAGTAGTTAAGCTGCAGCTCAAAAACCAAAATGGGTTCAAATACAAATGTGTAGTTTGAAGAAGAGCTTCATGCGGAAAGATAACGATGAGCTAAATGGGAAAAGTGAAAACGACTGTAAGAAAACCTTCACAATAATAGACAAATGACAAATGATATGAACTATCGATCTTGTAGCAAAGAAAAGCTGAGTGTTTCTAGATCAATACATTTAGATTCATATTTATCAATAATATTATTTAGTGTCGTCTGGTAAATGCACCTGGTATTTTGTGGGTCACTTCAATTAAAAAACAAACAAATTAAATCAAATGAAAACGTTTACAAATTTGGAGTACTGCAGTACTCTTGACGTGTCAGACACCGTGGACAGACCGTGCCCACATTCAGTACTCTTTTGACCACACTGCATTTTTCCCCCTTTGAAATACTTGGCATGTGGTGCCCTGGGAAAAGACCTTTCCTGTGGGAGCTCTGGGGAAGGGACCCGTGTGATAGCCTGACATGTGAACCAGCACTGTATGGCCTCGATAAGGATTTGTCAGATACCAGAGTCCACCAAACAGACAGGGGAAGTGGTGATAAGAGGGTGGCTTTGCGTTTGATCCACTTATTTGGTGGTGCCTGGGTTTAAAGTGGGAGTCTGAGCAGATTCTCATCAGACTTCCCGTAATGTCATTTCTCAACGATAAGGGCAGCCTCCTGAGCTCACATCCACCAGCCTTTTAACGGATGTCACCACGAAAAAGGTTCTGTCCCACCTTGGTCCCGTAAGACTGCTTTTTAGGATACCTCACAAAACAGTGTGGTTGGATTTGATGTAGGTACATAAAAAAAACCACGATTAAACTTTTGCATTACACCTTCAAATTTATGCATAATTCATAGTCCATTTCCAAATGTAAGTCGTCGCTGCCAGCTTTCCTAGGGGCACTTTGCAATATAACATTCTTCACTTGAAAAATAATGAACAGTGCACTGAGCAGCCTGCTGGCAGAAAAGCTGTCTCAAAGGAGCCACAAACACTTCTGTAGAATACGGAGAGTATTTGCAACTGATTTACGAGGTCACTCGTGTGGTAACAGTGAGATGTGAGGGAGTAGCAAACAGAAAATGTATTGGCAGCCGTAATGTTTCAAAGAGCTGTGATTTAAATATGTTAAATATATTTGTGGTAACATTGCCCTTGGCTGTATTTACTTACTCTGTGTGTTAGTGCCATTAGAAAACATTTATATTTGTTAACATAAGTGACAGAGATTGAGTTTGTATCGGTCAATGCTACAGGAACTGTGATTCACCAACTGTGGATGAGTCAGCATGGTTCAAATTAGGGACCAGCGGCCACTAGATGGCAGCACACATTACAGTGCCAGTGATTAATGAGGGCAATTTAGTCGTGTTAAACGGATTTAACCTGCTCATAGTCAGCACAGAAAGATTTGTGTGCAGTGTTTACTATTTCTGCTTCAGATCTGCATCTACATGGTATTACCCAGACTGACCGAAGGGAAACCAGGACCTTTTGGGCTGCACTTGCTAAACTGAACATACTATTGTGATGTCATTTAACAAATGAGAGGTACAATTACCAAAGGGCTAGATTTTTTAGCACTACAGTTTGAAAATAAGGATAAGGAAAAACAATATAACTTGGAATCACCTGTACGTGCACGTGTGCCAGGACTGACAACATTTACAGACTGTTTCCCCAGCATTTCTCTAATTATAAAGAAGTTGGCGAGTTCTCAAATTCTAAAATAGAACAACAAACAAACCAACATTCAGAAACACCTCATTCTTTCCATCATTTCCAGGCAACAACATGGGTTTGCTCCAAATTATAATTCTTAACCCAACACTAAACAATGGTTTCCTGCTTCAAAACTATAGCATGTTGTGTGATGGATTGAATCATTAAAATCAGTTTCAGCTATTTTAATTAATAATAGATTCCCTACTCCAAAAATGAAGGTTAGGGCTGCAGACAGAAAAGAAAAGAGATGTGTTCTGTGTTTTGTTTTGTTTTTTTCTTTTCTTTTTTTTTACACTATCTAAGAATCAGGAACATTGTTTATATCGTGTGAAAATCCTCACCCACATACAGCTCTGGTAATTAATTCTAACTGACATGAGTTTTCCTCTCCAGGGAAACTCCCACATTTTGCACATTTTTGCCAACCTATTTTTAAAGAATTTAAGAATCAGAATTGACCAATGCATTCCACAATTAGACCCTTGATCCAAAAGATTTTCATCTAAACTGCTGTGAAACAAACCACCTGCAAAACTCCACATCTGCAGAAACAGCCTCTCCATTTTGACTAAGCCTAACCCTGCTCTTATGCAATGTCTCTTTCTGCTCACTTGTCTGTGCTGGTGCGCTGTCGAGCACCCATACTGTACTGGAAGTGTATTGCATTATGGCGTTATGAACCGTCCGTGACATGCCGAAGATTAAAGCTGTAATCTGCAGCAGCTGGGAACCAAAGCAGAGTGGGAGGGTGTTATAGCGCTTATTTGTCTTGAGTGTTTCTCTTATGTGTACAGTAAATTTAATTTCACTGCATTGACCTTCTCTGTGTGTTGTCATCTCTTGAGCAGCCAGTGTTGATGTGTACGGTGCGCAGGTGAAATACTGTTTAATGTGTTTTTTTGAAAACCGAGACACCGAGACAAAACGCAGTTTTAAATCCGTTAGTGCAGCTCTATCAGATTGGAGACTCCAGTTAGTCCTCTCATCGCCAATCTCTAACATTTGATAGCACACCTACTGCAAAGCACAGTGGGAAAAAACAGGAGTAATGGGAGGAGGAAAATGCAATCTAGATGTCAGACAAGCATTTGATTTACCACTTACAGAAGCCAGTCTCTGCATCAGGGCAAGGCCGTGCCATCTCACATTTCCACTCAGCTTCATCCTTCAAACATTACTGGCCACGAAGTATTGATTTCTCATTCTTCTCAATATCCTCTTGCCTTTAATAGAATTTACACCAGACTATCAAAGTCTTAAGGAGGCCTCCCCTCCCCGTACAGTCGTGCTGGGATACTCTCACCCTCGGAGAGGGCATACTCCAGCCTGCCCTCCATTAGGCTCAGTTGTGAGTGACTATCTCAGAGAGAAGACATGGAAAATGACAACACGGGCGAGGATGAAAATTGCATTAGCAGTAATTTGGAGGAAAATTCGGAGCAGCAGAGGTGAGTCTGTGCCTGTTTTTGTTTTTCTCTTACCTTGTGATGAACATTAAGATTTGCTCGGTGACAAAGAGATTGTCATGAAGTCTATTTTTGGAAGAGAACTGACTGCGCTTACACACGTCCTCTCAGTATTTGTAGAGTGGAGGCTCTCCTCCCAGATAGTTAAATAGTTTCCGTTAAATTTTCAAAAAGTTTTGTGCTAAAGCTAAGAATACCTAACCTTAACGTAATACAATTTAAAGGTAAAATCGTGAATTTTATTATCTCATAATGAAGAATTGCACATTAGTTGATCTGTTATTGCCACTGTGTCGGCCTTTTGTGTCATGGATCTAAAACATTTTTCCGAGTATCACAAATAATGCGCATTTTTGCTGATCCTTATTTGCTGTCCAGCCATAAGCGGCGTACAGTTTCTGATTCAAGTGACAGCTTCGGCTTGGTGACCTTAGCCAATGTCCATGGACACATTGATTTTTGTCCCACATTACAGATAATTGCTGGATGCAGTGAATCCTATCCTCCCTGGGCAGCAGGGTGGAGCCTGTGCAGTGTGTTGACACGAAAGCGGCTATCTGATTTGACGAATGTGATATCCCAGGATGCCACTGACTGATTGTGATTGACTCCTCTCTGAACTTCCTGTTGTAACAGTTTGTTATTATTATTATTATCATTATTATCGTTATTAATATTATTATTAATGTTATTGTTTTGTTTCTAATTTAGAAGAAGTAATATGCACTGATTGAAGGGAAAAGGATGTTGAATGGTGCAGTTTATGAATGTTGGAAGTCACTGAAGGAACACTTTTAAGATGTTAATGAGAGCAAAGGCTCCGTCCAACTCCCTTAATGTGTTGTGAACTTGTTCAGTTAATTATGATGATCGACCTATTTCACGTTTTTTTCTGGAAAGGCAAAATTTAAAAAAAAAGAGAAAGATAACGATCCTGATTTTGGATTTGTGGCCAAACCTTGTAAATCATTTTAGTAAAACGGATGTAGCCGACGTCTTTTACAAATATGTGTATAACCTTTAGCGGGGCCCGTGCCGTAGCTCTTATTATATTATTATGAGGTTTCCTGTTCTGCATGAAGCAACTCTCATCATTTTATGCAAATGACTGCATCTTCTGTTTGTTCTGCTCCATAAAGTAATGGGGAAAAAGTCACTTTCTCTGTTATTATGTGATGCACAAATCTGTTATGATGCTCTGAAAAAAATCA